CTCATCACTCAATGGACGTAGGAAACATGCACTGCATCCGTTCACTTTCTCCGAATTTGAACTTGGAGTCGAATACAGTCCAGTGAACGTACCCTATCAGCTGAACTTCGGAGCCCAGCACAACGGGTTTGTCCATATGGCTCTTGATCATGCTACGGTGGTAGAACACTCGGCAGCGGAGCGGAAAGAATCAGTTGCGTTTTCCTGTTCTGTCAGTCCAAAATTTCTCCCAGTGCCTTGCTTATAGAGATATCATTGAATTCAGATGGCTCAAAACCCATTTTTGTATCTGGCCCTTCACATAACCTGAGGTCGAAATAAGAGAGAGGTATTGTCCGTACGGCGATCTCCTTGGCAATAGAATACTATGACTATGCGTAAAACTGGGACCAAATTCTCTGTTCCCACTGAGACCACACGTTGCTCATTCTTTCGTCGTCTCCTGACGAGTTGTGCTGGTTCCATAGTCCTGGAGCCTCGCTTGTCCTCTGTAACATATAAAACCGCGAGGTCTCGTAGTGTATCTTTTGTGAAGACTTGCTCTGCCGCTTCAACATCATGCAGCTGCTCTCTTTATCGGCCATAACGCTTCTCGCCTCTTTTGTCGCTGCTACTTCCGAAGTCATTACTGGACAGTGGACTTGTGTCGATGCCGGCGCATATCAGCTCTGCCAAAATCTATGGGGCGAAGGTAATGTACTCTAGAACCCGAATTTTGACGATTTAATTCATCTTCGAGAAACCCTCAGATAATGGAGTGGGTTCCCAGAATGCCACTTTGTACAGCGCCACTGGCGACTCGATCTCTTGGTCCACCACCTACACTTGGGCCGACGGCCCTTACGATGTGAAGAGCTGTGAGTGCTATACCTTTTAAGGCCTCTGGGGTCTTGGATAACCGAACCGCGCAGACAGCAATGTCAACCAGCTCTCCGCTACAGGCATGCTAGTCAGTGCTCCACCGTCGGGATTCTTCGTCCGATAACACACCAATCACCTTCATAGTTGTCCGAAATAACGTCCGCCCCCACCGCCTGGCAATGGGAATACGAGGCTATCTCCTCAAGCACTGTCGCTGACGTCTCGTGTGTTTGCCTCTGCATTGCAATACTGCCTCTGATATGTGCCCAGCTACGATATATGGGTAGGGACCAGTCCTGACGACCCGGGTACGGACACGTCCACATTCGAGATGTAGGTGTCGGACATGCATCACGTCAGATTGTTACCAACGTCTCCACTCGAACAGTATGATATGGGTCTCCACAGAGGGCGGGTGAGCATTCTTTCCCTGTTCGGATATCCGATGTCAGGTAGACGTTTGGATTTCGACAGCGCCGGGCCTCTCGGATCCGAAATCGCATCCGACATTTCGGTCGGCGGCTATTCGTGGAACCTCTATTCCGGCTTCAACACGTACTGGACCACCGTCTCGTTCGTCACGAACCAGGGCAACATCTATGACTTTAGCTCGGACTTGAAGGATTTCTTCGGTAAGCCATCCATACCCGTGTTGTCTCCTGTTTCATTATCCAATCCACTCCTTTACCGCCCAGTCTACCTCAACGAGAATTCGAACGTTTCTCTTTCGAACGTAAGTGCGCCAGGCGTCCTTTGATGCGTTCAAGGCTGATGTCAGACCTCTTCTCCAGTACCTCCAGTCGGTCGAATCCGGTACGGAGCCATTCTTGGGAACGGCGACGCTCTACACGGAGAGCTTCAGTGTCACAGTCAATACCTGAATAGGCTAAGCTGAATCTGAAGGAAAGTAGTCAGCGGGCGGTGCGGTAGGTGGTTCTCTGACGTCGCCGACATGTATGTGTTCAGTCTGCTGCATTGGAGTTTGTACGTGTAGGAAGCCATCTGAAATACGGTGCTTACGTCTCCGAGGCAGCCCCCTTTTCCTTTCCAGGTGTGGGCCTGACACGACGCGTCTATGAGAAGCACCCCGCTTCAATTCGAGGCTTTACCTTCCCTTGGCTGGTGGGGAGCCGGAGGGTCGCTAATGGAGATTGCTAACCCGAGTGTGCGACGGGTTCTTTGCCCGAACTAGTCCTTCCTACAAGCAGACTCTCCTTCATCGAACTTCGACGTAAGGTTCCTACGACTCACGCACCACGACTGCCCCTCGGATGTGCTAGTCATCTATCGTGTCGCACCCGAGCGATGATACCACGGACGGTGCCACTTGACTCCACAAGATGGAGGACCTCCAGGCGCACCCATAGGTCAAACGTGTGTTGATGATGGATCTGAGATATAATGGTCATAAGTGTTGCATATGGACCTACACGGTTAGGACAGTGTGGAGCGAGTCGTCCAACTCCGACGATCGAACGGTATCTCTCATTGCTAACATGGCGGGAAGGTCCATGTAGCAATTTTTGCTTTGTCGATGTCGTTCGTCGCCAAGTTTTATGAGTTGTAGATGCCTCAGTCTGCAAGTTGAGGGTACAGCCAGACTGTAGTGGGAGAGGGGGGTGTCCTTGCTGCTCAGCCATTTTAAGCGGATCGTCGATTGTCATTCATAACATTCGACCACAAATTCTCTACCGTGTAGAGGATACGAACCCGCAGTTATCATTGTAAAGTCTATAGTAAAGCACGATACATAATATCGCATAATGAGCGACATCAGTACTCAACGTGTTCGACCCCATTGATTGATGTTACATGCAGACACCTGTTCTTTTTCGAGAATATAAGTGCATATATGCGCATTGTCTAATGCTAGCATGACGTCCATTCGCCATCCGTCGCTCGTCCATTGAAGTTGAGACAGACATTTATGGGTAGAGCAGAATTTGCACGCGAAATTTTGGCATTACCCTGCACACGAAAACTCAATCCACCCATATATTGAAGTTAAATATTGTCGTTCGAATTTGCCTACAGAATTTTCGATGCCGTCATGGGTGCGTTTCATCGTTTGCCGTTTGCTCGAATGTGTCACCGAGTTATTCCGAGCTATGACAGACCATATGTACGGCCCACCTTTCGGATCTTGTCGAGCCTCGCGCGAAATGAGCTAAAGCCAAACCAAAACGGTAGCTGCATGAATGACTCGGACCAGTTCGCAGGCTTCCGGGAATGGCAGAGGATTTAGACAATTGTTGGTAGGAGCGAGTGTGGACTTTGGATCATTTGTACAGCCAGCTGTACCCGGAGTCTATAGTTGTAGAGCGGTGACAACTCCTGCTGGAGCGTGTCCTGACATGAGAACGAAAGCGCAAAACAAGAGAAGAGCATAAAGAAGAACTGGCCAAAGCGAGTCCCGATATCGCCGCACCTGAGACGCCAAGGCCGAGGCGCGGCCGACGTAGCACAGCGCTGACGCCAGGCGCTGTCACATTTGCGCAGTGGCAGTGGTCAGCATGTCAGGACGGTGCCACGATGCCTGGAGAGAGCGCGGGAACCACTTGACGATGGAATGGATGCGAAGAGCGGGAGGAGCGCGGATAATGCAAGGAAATCTAACATGTGGACAAGTGATTGGCATAGCGCGGTCATTAGTAGGGACATGAAGCAGTGGTGACTTGACACACGTCTTGAAACTTGAAGTCTCATTCATCTAATTAGTGCAGGGCAGCAATAGGCGATGCAGCATGAAGGCAAGACATACTTCGGAGCCTGGTCGTCAATTGGCGTTGAATATCAGTGAACCCAAGTCCGGTGATTAAGGCGGTCGGGACAAGTCAGCGCTGCATAGGTGGATGGGTCTAGGGGCTCTGTTAACACCTCCCTTTGTCATTGCGGAGCATGTGTGGCAACCACGAGATGGCAGTTGGGCGGGATGACATATCTGAATTTGATGATTGCCGAGAATGGGGACAGATAAACGAGCATGGGGAAAATCTTGTGTGTGTAACGTACTTGGAAAGGCTGAAACTTTAGATGATGAACATTGAAGGATGCTATGGGATTTGAGACTTGTGTGCATCTTGAAAATGCTACACTACACTGCTTGACGTGATGAGGTCCGAACTCGTCGAACAGGCCCTGAAGATGCGGCGGCCGGGTGGGAGATTTGGAGAAATATTATCCATCAGTCTCGAACGAGAGCAACGAAGACGAATTGGCTTTAGTATTCAACTTCCTCATCAGTGCTGTTGATTGGCTTGAGTATTCAATCTCCTTATCAGTGCTGTTCTTAAATTTTTAATAAAAAATAAAAAATACGATACCCTGATGTCGGACGATGGAGCGAGGAAGAAGAAGAAGAAGAGACAGTCAGCAAGCAGTAAGCGTGATTTGGCCTGGATCTGTCAGTTTCGGATGCGGCAGGCGTTGCCCTGCATTCGATCGACCCTAATCAGGTCGTCGGATGACTAACAGAGGCGCAAATTGCCCATATGGGGAAACGCATTTTCCGAATATGGCAGTCTCGGTTTCGACAAACGCGCTCTCTCGATCCCTTTTGACCGGAGCCATGGCGGATGTTCTTTCTCGCTCACTTTTCTTCTTCTCTCCCTCTTTCTCTCCGGCACCATGCCCAGTCTCGCGGACGGTGTTTTGTCCCCCGACGTCTCCCCAAACGCGCAGGTCGACGAGTTCAAGGATGAGTTCTCAAAGCCCAACCCACATGCACCTCGAGAGCTCAGTACGCTGCAGGCCGTTGGCCTCATAGCGACATGCACGACTGCAATGCTTCTAACCGTACGCATACATCTTCTTTTCTCGCCTCCGCCGACTCTGACCTTTGTGCAGACTGCGAATGCCACCGCTATTTCCATCTCCCTACCAACCATCGGCGACGACCTTTTGATTCCCGAGTACCGACTGCAGTGGCTCATCTCTGCATACTCTCTCAGTTCTGTGCGTTTGTGTCCCCGCTGCCCTGTTCTTCCATTCTCATATATCGCAGGGCTGCCTTCTGCTTTTCTTTGGTCGAATAGCCGATCTTTACGGTCGCCGAAACGTCTTTCTTCTCGGTGTCCTCACCCTCGGAGTGTTTGGTCTGGGGTGTGGCTTTGCCAATGGTGAGACTTTGTTTACATAGTTGACTCATCTGCAAAGCAGTATTGGGACTTTTGGGCTAGTAGTCCAGCACCCGCCTCGTCCTCGACCCCACCAGACGTCCAGACTCGTGATCTCCCCCGTGTGCAATCGAGTCATCGCTGACGACCTGATCCCGCAGACGAAATCACGATGGACATTCTTCGAGGCTTCCAAGGCTTAGGCGCTGCCGCATGCATTCCAGCCGCAGTAAGTGTCTCGGAGCTCCGGTCCTCTCTTCTCTTCTCTCGTGTTGATGTTCTTCCGTCTCGTGGCCGTTCCGTGCACCCCTTCGATCTCTTAGCTTGGAATTCTCGCACATGCGTTCCCACCCTCTCGGATTCGTTCGGTCGCTTTTGCCACTTTCGCTGCAGGCGCGCCCGTCGGCGCCGCGCTCGGTAGCGCAATCGGTGGAGTCCTAACCCAACTTACAGAGTGAGTGTTCTGTCCTTGATTCCTTCCGGCTACCTCCTCGATCAGACGTCATCATGCCTGGAGGCGCACACAGTGCCGATGGCATTTTTGGTGTATGTTGGACGCAGTAGCATTATGACTGATTGATCGCGGCTGTATGCGCCCGTCCATACCATTTGTCCCTCATTCTCAGAGATCAAATAGAAAACTCACGTATATATGCGCAGAAAACGCTGGAGATCGACGTTTTGGTTCATGACTGGCCTGTGTGCCCTCACCATCATCGGTGGAGTCGCCAGCTTCGACCCCGACGGGCCTTCACTTGAACTTGACCGGTGAGCGATCTTCCCCGTCATCTCCAATGAATGTAGCCTAACCCGATCCTGTAGTCGCGTCGACTGGCTTGGCGCCTTCCTCGTGACGGCCGGCTTGGTGCTTGTCGTCTTCGCGCTGAGCGACGGCACCATCGCCCCAGAAGGGTGGCGCACAGGATGTACGTATACTTATTCAAATCTTGCCGGCGGTTTGTTCTCAGCGACGGTTTGCAGACATCATCGCACTGCTCGTAATCGGCGTACTCCTGCTTGGCGCGTACATTGCCTGGGAGTTGTACCTCGAGCGCAAACAAGACGCACGCTCGACCGCGTGGTGGACGCCACCGCCGCTCATGCGCGTCACTCTCTGGACCCGCGCACGCGGCAAGCTCGCCGTTACGCTCGTCCTTGCCCTGCTCGAATACGGCAGCTTCATGTCATGGAGCTACTGGGTGCAGCTCTATTACCAAGATTACCTCCTGCTCTCCCCGGTGCTCACCATGGTGCGGATGATTCCGATGTTTGTCACGGGCGTAGTATGCAACGTGTTTGTCGCCATGTTCGTCGGCCGCGTGCCGATTGCGATCATCTTGTGTAAGAGTACTTGTCTCCGCCCGTGCTGCGTTCGCTGACGGCTGGACTGGGCATATAGCATGCGGCACGCTGCTCACAGCCACGGCTTCGCTCTTGTTCGCGCTCATCGACCCCGCGGAACCATACTGGGCGTTCGGCTTTCCAGCGGCCGTGCTGTCCGTGTTTGGCGCCGACTTTGTGTTCTCCTCAGGGACCCTGTTCGTCGCCAAGGTGTGTCTACCGCACGAGCAGAGCGTTGGGGGCGCCATATTTCAGACGATGACGCAGGTGCGTAGTCTCCGCCTTCTGGTCGTGGCCTGGACTGACGGACGTCTTGTTTCAGCTCGGCTCCGCGTTTGGGCTGGCGATCACGACGATCGTGTATGACTCGCAGCTTTCGAAGGAGTCCCGCAAATACGGGGTAATCGTGAACCAGAACGGGACGAACGCACCGCCCGCGGCGCAGCTGGCCTCGTACAAGGGCGCCATGTGGGCTGGGTTTGCGATTGGCGTGCTTGGTAGGCCTTGTCCAGATTCGTGTTCGTTCGTGGCTGATGCTGGCGTCCATAGGCACAGTGCTTGCGGCGTTATGCCTCCGCGGGGCAGGCATTGTTGGGCACCAGAAGGGCGGAGACAACGAGTCTGCGATGAGCGGCGAGACGGTGCGCGACGAGGAGGCTCAGCGGGCTGAGCGTGTGCAATCAGAAAAGAAGTCGTGAAGCGCGGCGGAGAGTTTTCATTCATGTTTTTCTGGACACATCCGGATGCTTTATCATACGACAGGGATAATCACGACACATTAGAGATCGAGACGGTTTGGACGCTACTCACATGTATTTTTGATATATACACTAATCTTTGGACCCCATTTACGAAGAGAATCCCAGCTGGCTGAGCCTGCACAATCAGAAAAGAAGTCGTGGTGCGCGATGGAGAGTTTTCATTCATGTTTTTCTGGACACATTCGAATGCTTTATCATATGATAGGAATAATCACGACACATTAGAAATCGAGACGGTTTGGGCACTCCTCACGCTACTCACATGTATTTTTGATATCTACACTTATCGTTAGTCCCCATTTACGGAGAGAATAGGATTCAAGTCTGATGGATGATGCGGAGCAAGGCGTTCGATGTTGATCAGGAGCTGCACGCGCGAGGGGAGCCGGTTGGATTGTATGAAGTCGCTATGTTCGGACAGCATTTAAAAGTGCATCAGAAGCATACACTGGATCCTTCTCCAGGTTATTTATTAGTAACGGCCATATGATTCGGAGAAGCGACTGGTGAATGAGGACGCTGCGTGTCGCGGTTCCGGCCAGCCTATTTTCGGCATCGAGATGTCGGCACTGCGAGTTGCTTGTTGGGAGTAGGAATGGGCTCGCCAGCTCCGTGTCGTTCTTCTAGGCGGTGGGGGAGCGAGGAAGCAGCAGCGGAAACGCAGGTGCGTTGAATGATGCACTCTGGCAACTATAGCGCAGGAGCTAGTGTAGTACTAAGATATAAGTACCTCAGCCTAAAGCAGTTTCGGCCACTATCGTCACACCGTGACTTGCCGTGACTATCGTGGAGAACGGCTGGATAAGGGGACTTGTGCTCGTTGTAAACTAATGAAGTCATGATGTGGAGATCATTGCCAATGCCATCAGTCTATTGTTCATTTGGTGTAGCTTTGAGATTTTGTAAGTATGTAAGTTGTTTCTGCCACACGAACCGTATATCTACTTGTGAACATGGGCCTAATACTATATCGAAATTCGGCTACGGATCGTCGAAAATATCTGCCGTTACTCACATTTCATCCGTGGCCCAACATTCGTTCAAATACTACATCTCAAGCGCATCGTTTTCACAATTATTTGTTGCCGTGTTTTCGCATCACTTCGGACACATGTCAGTTCAAACTCTGTTTTCTCGCCATCGTAGCTCTGTTTCCTGCACGTGCCAGTTTTCTTATATACCGCATAACGTTACCTCTTTCTTTCCTCAGTCGTTGTGTCCCCCCCACGACTGAGGTATGCCACTCTCACTCTAATGTTACTTACTATAGATATTAACCTGTATTGGCAGCGTCGCGATTACCAAAAAAAACAGGTAATCCCAATCGTTGTATTCCCTCCACGACTGAATGTCGCGTTTATAGAGTCGCAGTTTCAACTTTCGCCACCTAAATTGGCGGAAGTGCGACACTTTATGGTCATATGATATGATCAGGCGTATCTTGGTGGAGAATTGAAGACAATCCGATCCGACGGGGTGTGACCCGACGCGTCTAGGTGTGACAGGAATGCGAGACGCGTCACGGCTCGGAGCGTGTCGCTTCCCGAGTCTCCACCGTCTGCAAAAAATTCCTTGCTGTTTCCTCGGTCGACGGGTCGAAAGTAACATCGATGTCGGATCACGGCGCCCGGAGAGATTTTGGTTACGGGGAAGCATGCACAGGCAGCCACCGCCGCCGCCCAGTGCGATGGACGCGCGCGCAAAGTATTTGTTTTTTTCCCTCTTTGATTTCCAATCGACTTGTGCCTGTGCTACTTCTAGACAGGTTGAAGGGCTATCTGCCAGTTCCACTAGCTCGTTGCAAGGCCAATGCTGCACGCAGGCCCGCGAGCACGTAACGGCGCGACGAATCGCGCTAGACAGTTTCAATTTCGACTGGATTTGTCTTGGGCATTGCGAGCAGTGGAATGCTGCAGTCCGCTGCAGACTTCGAAGAAGAGGCGACTCTGCGTGATTCGGCGAGAAGAGTTCGCCACCGAAGATGAATTCAGCGAGTGCGCATCCCGAATTCCGTCCTCCATCGCACGCAGAGCCGAGCGCCAGGTAATTAAACATTGCCGCTCAAACGTTCTTGGGCTGTGCTCATTGGTCCCCAGGCTCTATATCGGCCAGCGCGATCTCGGGCGTGACGAGCTCGGTCAGTTATCTCCCGCTCAGTCCTCGCCTGGCCTCCACGGTCATCCTGGAGCCAGTCAGGAGACCCTCTCCTGTGCCGTATCCGTCCCCAGTTATCGGGACATCACTGTCCGTGCGATGGCGGCTTCTTCCTCTTAGTGCTCAGCCTGCGTTCAAATAAAAGTGGCCAGGGTAACGACGACCACTCTCTCATCCTCAGCAGCACCTCGGTCGCCATTCTCAGGCCTCACTCTCTCAACCGACGCGACTTGACTGAAGCCAGCCAACCAACACCCATCTGCGCGACTCGGCCAGCGATGTATACGACAGGATCGGTCCTGCTCAAGACGTTCCTCGACGCGGGCATCACCCATATTTTCGCCAACTGGGGCAATGACCATCCAGCGATCCTCGAAGATCTAGAAAGACAGCGTGTCGAGGCAGGCGGCGAGAAGTCGCCGCTGACCGTTGTCACATGCACCAACGAGATGGTCGGCCTGAGCGCGGCGCAGGGCTATGCGCAGGTGACGGGCAAGCCCGCGGTCATGATCGTGCATGTCGATGTGGGCACACAGGTGGGTCTCGTTCACATATCTCCCATGCTTGCCAGATCGACGCGGAAATCCCTCGCGCCTATCTCTCGCCCACTTCGCTCTTGAATCTTCTGTGATGTGACATCGAGATGCGTGTCTTCGTCATGTGCTTTCTCGCAACATCGCTGCACGAGGCCCGGTTTATGCAAATGCTGATCGTCCGCGTTCCCTCTCTCGCAGGCCCTTGCCGGCGCGGTGCACAACGTTGACAAAGGTCGTACGCCTGTCATCATATTCGCAGGGGCCTCGCCCTTCTCGGCCAGCGGAGAGCTCAAGGGCGGCAAGAACGAGTGGCCGATGTGGGGACAAGGTTCGACATGCACCACATCGCGTTGCCTGAGCCTCCTGATCTCGTGCAACTCTCTCCTTAGACGTACCGGACCAATCGGCCATCGTTCGACAGTACATGCGATATACGACGCAGATCATCAACGGAAAGGCCGCCGCGAAGAACGTAATGCGGGCATGGCAATTGTACGTGTCACACTGCATCATTGGAGGACGCCGCAGTGGAGCTTACCTCAACTACTCGTACAGTGCCACGAGTGAGCCGACAGGCCCGGTGTACCTGTGGGCCCGCCGTGAAGTGTTGGAAGACGAGGTCGATGCAAGCGTGTTCGAACAGCAGCTTCCGATGTCCAAGTGGCCCTCTCTGCATCCTGGCGCGCTCTCCTCGACGGGTATGCCTCGTCGTTCTGGTTGTGCTCATAGTCCACGTTAGCTCACGCGTCGCGAACCAGCTGTGCAAACGATCGTCTCCGCCATCTCTTCCGCCCAGTTCCCGCTCCTCATCGTCTCCGGCTCCGGGAGGAACCCGCTCACGGTCCCGCTCCTGACCACGCTGTGCGAGCTGCGCGCCATCGGGGTGTACGCGTCGGTGTCGCAGACGCTCTGCATCGCGCAGACGCACCCGTACCTGCTCGGCGCGTCCTTCGACGGGTACGTCGCGCCGCTCGCACTCGCGGACGTCGTGCTCGTGCTCGACGCGGACGTGCCGTGGATAGAGGCAGCGGGGAGCAGGCTGCAGCCCGGCGCGCGCGTGTTCGGGATCGACGTCGACCCGCTGAAGCAGCAGATGGGGTGGAGTCACGTCGACGCGGAGATGCTGTGCAGGGCGGACGCGGCGGTCGCGCTCGCGCAGCTGGGCGACGCGTTCCGCGCGGAGGACGCGCACGCACCTGACGCGGCGGCCATCGCGGCGCGCGTGCAGGC